CCTCATTTGAAGTAATAGTGGTGTGCCTCAGTTCGGATAGTTATATTTGCAACCATTCATTCAGGCTGTAATCATAGTTGCACTAGAAAAATTTGTTTGTCCCATAGGTAATTCTAGGACCGCTGTCATCAAACGAGGACTGGTAGCCAGCTCTACAGTTAGATTGAATTACGCATTGTTTATCCACTTTGCATTATTTAACGAATATGCTTCTTGCTAATTCCCCACGGTTACCGTCCTCTGGTTTCGAGCCATTTATGGTTGGCGTGTACTGAATGCTAAATGAATATGTGACCCGTTCCATTAGCACTGCATTTTGTCAATTATTCTTCGGTGTAAAATTTATCTTTATCTTTATTTACGTGACAATAAAGTTTACTTTAATAACGGAGATCAGGCACATTTATTCCACATTTAGTTTACAACAGGTTATTTTGAATAACAATGGACTACGTGTGTGAACAAGTGAGCATGTGACTACTTTATTTCGGCACTATTTATGAAATCTGTTTGAGATGTGTCGTACATCTGCTTGTCTTTGTCCGCCCTTGTGATAATATATAACTGCTACCCAAACCCGACGTTGAGGGTGTTTTGTCATGTCGGAAGCTTATGTAATAGAGTGAATGCTCACATCATCTGAATGGTTGATTGAACATGTACGAACAATAACTGCTTTTGTTCTTTCCTCTTTGATGTTTTTCGTGTCTAGAGCTGATTGATCTTTGTTGTGCAAAATGATATTCACATTCTTTGTGATAGTATATATTAGCTTCCTTTCGCAAAGGCTGATAGTTCAAACATTCTTCAGACCTATTCCCCTTCCCATAATATAGGATTTAGGAACACATTTTCCCTGTTTTAAGGCTATTTATCTCACAGCTAAAATCAAAGTCGAACTACCTTGCCAGGCAACGTCCAGTAATTCCCAGTTATTTCAAACAGAATTCAATCCAGTGATACAACAATTTATTTGATGGGGTGACGTTTAATCTTCTCTACTGTGACTTTTTGGATTGCAGGTTCGTCAATGCTGCACACTTCAGTCCTTTTTAGTCCATACAGTATCGCTGTTGTGGGTGGAATCACGAAGGGGAAACCCTTTTTCTCTCAATGATTCACAGTATACTTTTTCGTCTAACTTTGAAACCCTTCTTCCATATGGGTCTAGTCACAAGTATTGAAGTGTGCTTCAGATTTCGACCAAGTCACGTAATGCGCTTCTTTTATATAGCAGTACAGAACCGCAGCATATGTGGTCCTACCAGTGACACTAAAAGACAAACGTTGCATTAGGCTAGGTCACAAAATCCTAGGATTCGACTTTTTTATATATGAAAAACGGTTTACAACTGACCAAATGGTAATCGAGGACAGTGCCAGTCGGAAGGGTACTTCCGATCTCATTTCCAATCAATAATCCATGACTAAACTTACTGGATTCCCACTGTCCGCCGATTGACGGTAGCCGTACGGTGCATTCTGACGTTTCCGCATGTATCTTAGCGGTTAGCTTCCAATAAAAAAGCTCCGTTCATATATTGGCTTATCTGTCCAACTATTTTCAGCATATTAAGCAAACAAGATAACGGAACATGCATGCAACTTCAACAGAGCGTTCTTCTAATTGAGGGTCTGTAGCGCTTCGCCAACCGACATTTTCTGTGGCTCAATGTTTGGTTTCAGAGAGAGTGACGTTCGCACAACGATCTCTCATCACAGCAGAATGCCAACCTAGCAGTCAGACCAACTTCTCCGTGTCTTGAACCTATGGTTTTACGTGTTTCTCCTCCCGTCCGCCATCCACCTTACAAAGTGACTTTGACTTTGTACACATTATGAGCTTCCGGGCTTTTAGTTCAAGTCGCTTTGTCATGTCTCGCTGTGCATTAATGTTAATGGCAATAATGCCGAATCCGAAAAGGGTTTCAAAATACTTTCTTTCAGGAGTAAATTATTTTACAATAAACAACCTGAAATAATAAACATATAAAGCCCAAAAGACTCGGATTATTTGATCAACATTAGTTTCGAAAAGGGCTACAAACATGCCTTGATATGTGCGTTCATTTATGTGAGAACCGAATTCTATGGAATTTTCTCCCTGCTAGTTTGAACCATATAGAAATGGCTGGTCTGTGGAAACAAGTAATCAAATACTCAAATCTGTTGGATGAAAAAAGATCCACCGTGACAACCTGTGTACACAGTTTCTGGTTCTTTAAGTTTAAACTAGATTCTGTTTCCTAGTTGACTCTAACTTATCACAATTCTGAAATTCTGTGTGGATAATTGAGAGCTTCCTCATTTTGCAACCTCCCAAACAGCAAGTTTCAGGAATTCGGATGCTACTTTTTACCAAATTATTTTCTTTCGTGTGTCTACAGCATCACTATAAATGAGAATGCTTCTTAATCCGCCACAAACTGTACCACTCCGGATAGGAGAGCTGAATGTTTACTTTTAAATGGTGAAACAAAACGCGCTTGGTTTTTGCCATCCATCATTTGGACACGCTTCATTTACGTCCGTCGAAACAGAACGGACAACAGTACACATTGTAATATTTTGGTTGACTTTCATCAATCTTCCGCATCGGTTAGACGCATGCCCGGGAAAATATGTTCGCAAGATTGTTTGCGTCTGCCAGGACAAACGTCCAGGCCATCCCCCACCCAATACGTGGAATGCAAATCACGCAGTCTCAGATGGACGCACGAATTTGGGCGAATTTTAAGTCTGTTCATTTATATTCCACAGGGGTAGATCACTTGTCGATTTCCATTGTGTGTCCACGGTGTTGTCCAGTTTACTATAGAGTGGGATTGTAAGTCGAAATGCCCATGAAACGTGGACAGCAGTTGTGCAGATAACTTCTCGAGAATGATTTACAAACACCGTGAAATGCAAACAAACATTCAACCCTCTAGCACCTAGGGTCATGCTTAGTTTACAGTCGAAATGCAGAAACTTTGCTTATGACGCCGGTGCCTCTGGCAGTAACATTTTCCAGTGTAACGTGAACGTCCCTATTTTCCCTTGAGTGTATTGGGGTTTTATTATGCTTAGGTAACAACATCTGTTTATTGGTAGATGAATACTCGAATGCCCTTTTACGTGGCAACCTTTGATTGACACGAAAATCAGTGAACTATACCACTCTCTCAGTTACGAAGGAAAACTCAAATAAGATAACACATACTCCAAGACCCAGATCGGTGATAAAAGACACCTCTTCAGTAACGATTACCTAGAGGGCATCTAAAAATAAACATTAACTTACCAAAATAGGTGAAACCTCTGGATAGATGCAGAAAATATTGGTTGTGCTTTATAAGCAACATCCTATCGACTAATGCAAAGCAACCAAACCTCATCGATCGAGCTTTTTGAAAGTTTCCTTTTTATAAATATTCCGATCCTAAACGCCTGTTGTTGCAACCAGAATACTCAAAGTTTTGCTTTTATGCCATAAACAAATATTTTAGAGATCACTGTGTTATTTGTTTTCTTACTTCATATTCAGAGTTTTGTCCCATTACCGACATTTCCGATTTTACCTCGGATAAGGTTTTCAATTTTCCCTAAGGTGAATTGGTTATGTACACAGTATTTCAATCATCTCCCATTTTACAATCCCTATGAAGTTTTTTAAAAGTTCTGTGCTTGGGGTTGACTTCAGTAATATATATTTGATTCAGCATAAACAAAAATATTAGTTGACAACTTAGCAACCGTACGCCTGTAAGAAAAAACGGCCCTACACTGTCATTTCACGCTTGAAACCGTAGGTCATTTGTCATTTCACAATCATTTCTCTATTCTCTCATAATATTACCCAACTATTGTCGGTTTATTTCATGGTTTGGCAATTATTAGTTAGTCTTAGATTTTGTTCAGTTGACGCCAATGATTTATTCGACGACTCTTCAATCCACACATGGATTGTTGGGCCAAGCAAAACAGTGCTGTTTCCTTTGAACTTCAAGTGCCCCATCACCACCAACAATACCAACACCACCACTCGCTGAAATAATATGCGATTCTTTTCATCACCGCCTAAGCGGATATATTAATTACCGTGGTCACAATCTGGTATGTGTACTCGTCATTAGGTGAAATCCACCCTAACTTTGAACTGCCATTCGTTCCTTATGGTATGAAGTTAATTTCATAATGTTGTCCTTTAGTATTTTATGTTATTTTTTAGTTTGCTTCTGAATTGTTTTCGAATGAAATGTAGTCTGGAACGATTGAAGACTGACACAAATGCAACGGACCTGCATTTCCGGCTAAAAACGGCTTATGATGACATCCTATGTCCTAATGAGCGACTGCACTGGACAATCGAAATACTGTTTTCACTCATAGTTAATGCAGCCTTTAACTACATCGAAAAAGGTGGACGCTATCATATCATACAGCCAAACCAGAATGAGTGATCACTATCTGAGAAATAGTTTGAGCACTAAACATTCAGGTTGATACTAAAACAACTCCAACTGACCTATAGTATTCATTATAATTGCTACGCAGATCTATATTCAACTCACTTTAGTTATTTGTGCAATTCGACTTTTGTTTTATCACTTGTTGCCATACACCCTCTCCCCGGCAGCTTGTTTGGATGATGCATGGATTGATTTTGTGGATAGATGGCCTGATTACGAAAAAGACTATCCACTGATGGTCATTTCCAATCCCAGGTACACGCGGCACATTCAGTGGAGCACTAAAGGTCGCCAACAGTCTTGCGATGCTGGAACAAGTCCGTGTAAGGCGAGCAACCCATGCGACGCCACGGCCACGTGTATAGATGAGTGGCGCGGTTTTCGATGCGAGTAAGTGTTCTGTCCTCGAAATAAACATTCAGATTCGAAATAACTAATCCCAACAAATTTGTGCTAAACACTGTGCTGCAGTTTAATTTTGGTACGCATAGATATGACTAGTGAGGTAGACACCAGCATACATCCGGTACGCAAGAGAATAAATTCACATTCTCACCAATCGGCAACTAATGCCCAATATGTGGTTAGTTCCAACATGGTTGGATAAAAAGTAAAATGCCTTGATAAATCTCACTATTTCGCTAAAGCCTTGGATCAATTCTATCGTTGATGAAAAAATGGAAATTTGTTAGATTGAAAGATATAACGTGGTTAATACAATGTAAGATATATTGTACGGCTAAACTCGCAGTATTATAACTGATTAATTCCTTTGGGGATATATTTTATGTGAAGTCTCAATCTTCATAAAAATGAACTATTTATGAACACAGGTTAATTACAAATTTATTTTGTAACTGTAGGACATCAAGGTCTGATATAAACTTATGTATTCTTGTGACTGTATTACTATTATTCTTGTGACATGTTACGTAACAGAGCAAAGGTTTCCTTGCCTGTCTTTCGGCTGTGTTCAGCTCCATGTCATGCGTGTGAATAAAAGGAGCTGTACATCGAGTAGACCCAGGTGATTACTTAATGGAACAACTGGATCGTATTGGATCAAATGTCTTTTGTCCATTTTTATTTTCACACTGGGATTGATGAAGACAGTGTTATTTTTTAGAGCTTCTTCAAGCGCACAACCAGCGAGGCAATTTTTCTACAAAATTTACCTCAAAAATAAAATAGTTTCTGTGCGAAATGGCTTCGTTTGAAATTACCTGCGTTATTCTTCCGTCTCTATCGTTTATTCTATTAAACTTGTGGGTGGAGGAAAACAAGAGGATCGTCCTCATTCATGGTGTTCCACAGTTGGACGATCCAGATGAATCTAAAAGTCATCAGAACGACCGACGAGAATGGAGTTTCATCCTAAATTTACTAGGTTGTACGGGTCTTCTGACAACCTCAATCAGTCGTCTTCCCTCCTCTCAAAATTACCATGGAAATGGTCCGAGGATAATGATACCCTTGGCACTCCAGACATGGCCAACACCGTCTTGCAGTTATGGCGAGAACGAAAGAGCAGAGGGTCACCGGAACTGCGTGTGAGACCGTTAATCAATCCCAGGCTCCAAACAAATTCATATCCCGAGAACCCTACTAATACATCGGACCACTCAGTGCAAGTACCAAATTCCGTCCCGTAAACAGTGGTCCAAAAAACCAGAGCTTCTCTGGCAAAAAAACTAATGGCAGCCGACCGCGAAGAGGTCGGCCAAGATATCACTTCTAATCCAATCGGATTTCTACACCGAAAATATTTAAACTGTTGCTATACCAATGCTCAAGGACTCTTCAGCAAATTTCCAGAGCTGAATTTTCGATTCATATCAGGTCAATGGGATATTACTGCTATTACAGAAACGTGGCTTACAGCTGATATTCCGGACTCCGAATTGTCCTTACCAGGAATGTCTCTGCTCAGATGCGATCGTCCTACTCGTGGTGGTGGTGTTTTACTCTATTATCGTAAAGACCTTGACTGCGAGCAAATCCATCCTCCATTTTCGACTCCTGACACTCTGTAGTGTAGACTGAGACTGTCCAAACACGATGACTGCTTGATTGGTGTCATCTATCGCCCACCATCAGCCACGGAATCAGCCAATAGGACCCTTTTAAACACTATGTTACACATTCTCGCAAAAGATTCACACATGTTTTGCTAATGGGTGATTTCAACTGTCCGAACCTCCGCAAACCAATGACTTCCCATCCCTTCTTCGAACAGCAATTCATAAAGCTGATTACCTCACAACCACTGTACAACCACGTGAAAGAGCATACCAGATTCGGAAACTTGCAATCACCATCCATCCTGGATTTAGTGTTGACAAACGAAGAGTTGATGATAGAATCTGTTGCCGTTACGACCCCTCTGGGACGCAGTGACCATGCTGTACTGTTGTTCAAATATATTTGTTACGCTTCTGTCAAAGCAATCAACCCAAAAAACGTTCGCACATTCATAGACTATGCAAAGTTGGAGAGCTTGGCTCCTTCCATTCAATGGATATCTCATAGAGAAGAGCACAACCCTTTATCCGTGTGGCAGCAATTTACTGACAGTCTGCAACAACTACTGACGTCAGTAACGCAGGTAAAGGTTGTTACCAAACCCAGCAGCCGGAAATCTCCTATTCGAAGCCGTACAAAGAAATGGATATTTCTGAGGGACCTCGCTTGGAGAAATTACAAACGACTCCCGAATGCATGCACCTGGAACAATTACCGACTGCTGCGAAACCATTGCACCAAGTTGGTGGGCGAAGATAAGCTAAACCATCAAGAATCTCTAGCACAGAGATTTATTTCAAATCCCAAGCTTTTGTACAAACATGTTAACTCAGCCCGAAAAGTCAAACATGGAATACCGGTGCTCAGTTCTTCTGGGAGAGTCACAGCCAATACGATGGAAGCCGCTGAAATGCTGAAGAACCAGTATGCCCACGTTTTTGCTGCGTCAACTAATGAACAAATGTCCCTCCCTCGTAGGATGAAACAAATTCAACATCCTTCATTAACCACCGTATCATTCACTGCCGAAAAGGTTAAAACAAAGCTATTGGCCCTGAGGAAGAATGCATCGCCAGGTGCAGACAATATTCACCCCCGAACCCTTATCTGCTTGGCGAATCAAATATCCGAGCCACTAGCCTTC